TAAAACTGTGGTACTCGAGTATTTCTTCATGTCTGTTGACATACTGATGAAGCCAAAAGGGTTTAAAACGTGTTTCTCCAAAGAATCACTGAATAAAAACTCTACAGCTGAAGTAAAACCAATTTACTTCCACCAAGAGAAGCTGAATAATTCAGACTCCACAGGTTTTGTTCTGAGTTGTGGCACCACCTGCTGGACGGAGGACAGAACTGCAGCTCACACATCAGGTTAACTGGATGATATTTTTGTTTTTAAGTCACATAAACCTGCTTTACCTGCTAAAATAATACGATCACAGGAGAGAAGCTGCACATTCCTAGAAGTGTTTACTTCACATTAAATCCTCTCCTAAAACTTCTCCAATACTGTTATTTCTAGTATTTAAGTATAATTTGGTTTATTTTTTATTCCCTAAACGTCTCCGTCGCTGCTGCAGATTGCACTCAGTGATAATAAATATAAATGACGATATAAAATAAAGAAGATTAAAGTCTTTTGACATCAACGACCACATGTGATTCATCTCCTCGTTATCGTCAGTTAAACCACTTCTGTTTGACGTTTTCACAACACTGACGGTGACTTATTGAGCACAAATGAAGCTGAAACCATTAAATAATTAGCTGCCAACTATTAGACTAATTACCAGCTGTTTTAATGATTGCTTTGAGTATTTTTTTAAAGGAGAAACTCTGTAAATTCTACGATTGCAGCTTCCTAAACGTGAAAATTTTCTGGTTTCTTTGGACAAAACAGGACGTCTGTCATCAAATCTCCTGGTCTTCAGTATAAATCTGTTGTTAATGCATGAATTAATAAAAAATACATGTGTAATTATTATAGAAACAGTCAAAACAGGATAATATATATCATAGATTATAATTAAAGAGGCATTAATGTGTTCGTCGCGTTAGTTTTAGAGCTGGTGATGGAGGTCGTTTCATCTGCTGATCGTAAAAATCCATTTAAAGATCAAAAGAAGTTTAATTTTAATCTATAATATATCAGAATGTGTTGATTCTTTGTTAATGTTAACTCCACGTCGGTTCCTTTAAACCGGAGCTGCAGCGATTAATCAGTCGTCAACATAAATAAATCACTGTTTTGATCATTAATCAGTAATTAAAAATGAAAACAGCAGCTTCGTAAAC